AAGAGTTGATAAACACTTTTTTCTTACACATTAGGTGCCCACAAAATTATGAGGGTTATCATACTCTCTTTGATAGTGACGTTGCACAGACAAACAGAGTTATGAACTACTATTAGCACTACAACTCGTCAAAACAGGAGGTAAGGACAAAGAATTGTATGAAGACCAAGTTGAACCTGACAACCAAACTGAATCTCAGGCTACTCTTCCAAAAACTAACCAAATAAAGTATATGGCTACAATTCAGGTGGTATTACTTGGAAATTTTACCAGTGATTAGAGAGCTTTTGCTCTGAAACATAATGAAGTCAACATCAAAACTGTAAAGGCAGGAATGCAATGGCTGAAAGAAAATAATATTCTCTACAAGGATGACAATATTGATGATAATCAGATTAGTGGTGTGCCTGTGGTAATCACACTCTGATTGGAAAAAGTTCAAACAACATACTCACTAAGGAATGTGAAGACAACAATTTATTGAAATATTTTGTGCTTATTTTCTAATTGGAATTGGGAACAAAGGTATTAATGGCCTCTTGAGAAATGATGCAAGATTCTATACTCATCTTCTTGCACTGCAAGGTGCTCCCACCTTGAACAGGCCAGAGCTTGTTGCTGTAATAGAACATTTTTGAATGGAAAAGAATGATTAGTGAAGTAATACTTCAGCCACTACACAAGTACCTACAGATCAAAAGCTTGATATTGCACAATTAACAAAAAAAATCTTAATATTATATTTAACCTCGTGAACTAGAAGAGGCACTATATGGCCAGAACCATAGCTTTCGTTAGAAAGTATGCTTCTAGCTGCTCCGAGGGGCAGCACTTCCCTCCGAGGAGTTTTCATGGAAGTGCAACCAGGGTGTTGTTTTGGCTGAGAAATTAATTGAAATAGTTGTTCATAGTAGTTTGTATGGTACGGGTGGTTGCAGTAGAGACCAAAGAGAGCTTTGGTGATGCAGAGGGTTTGTGTCGTTTCTTCTTGGAGTATGCATCAAAGATCAGCCCATCTTGTGTGACGCTCTCCGGTGGTTGTTTACTATGAAGCAATGGGGGAAAGTACTGGGTAATAGGGCGAGTGTTGGAGACCGAAGCACCTGTAGCTTGAGAGACACTCGCCAGAATTGTTTTCTCGTAGGCTCAATGATAATAAGAGAGCATGGAGGTAGGGGTTTGCAATAAGAAGGCTTCCATGGGAATAGGTGGGCATGGGACGGACATGTTTGAGATTTTAAAGCAAATAAGGTCTAAAATTTCATCACCACTCTCTGTCGATGCTTTGCTTGCTTCTGAGGAAGTGTGGAGCCACGAAGATCTTCATTTCGCTGTTCCCATAATGATATATAGGAGGTAAGAAAAAATTCCACAAGGTAACCTCCCAACACAAGCGGGGAGTAAGAGCCGGAATGAAGATCAAGATCAGCAAACCATTGGAGCAAAATGTGACCGGCAAACATGTGGTGCCAACCAATCTCACTCTGGAAATGAATAACTGGGTGAAGGGATATTGGATAATTCTCTGGAGAAACAGTGCCAGCATCTAACCATTTGGTAAGACATGTAGCTAGAGTGTCAGTGACAATTGGTCGGAAGCCAAGTGTGGACATGCGTTGTCGTAGAGAGGTGATAGTCTGTCTCTGCCAGTTGATGTGTGATGGGTGGGAACAGCGAAAGAGATGTTCGGAATCTTCAGGCGACTGGCAAAGACAGCAGGTATCCTGCTGTTGGTAGTTCCACCGTTTGAGAACTGTGGCAGTGGGTAGAATATTGTTGCAACATTTAGTGACCAAGACGTCCCTGGAGATACGGTGGATGGCAATGCTCAGAGACTTCCAGGCAATATCAGCAATTCCCTGGAGATACGGTGGATGGCAATGCTCAGAGACTTCCAGGCAATATCAGCAATGAAGCATCGGGGCCACTGGTTCTTATCCCTCAAATATGTATGATAGTGGGGGATTAAACAAGAATCTGTGAGAGCTCTCTTATATTGGCCGGTGACAGAGCGAGATTGGATCTGGAGAACCGCTGGGCAGGAAGGTAGCACTGGTGTGATAAAATATGGCGTGGTCATCTGGGCTTGAAAATCGCCAGCGTAACCATCAGCTTCAACATTCAGTTGCACAATTAACAAGTAATTGATTGGATTGTGCTCTTGATAGACATTTACATGAACGGCAACAAGGAAGTAAATTGTCAGAAGAAAGCTCTGGTGTTGATATGTCTCTCAGGAAGACCCAGACAGTCACTTCAAGTACAGGTCATACTAGTGCAAGTGCAAAGAAAGCTAAAGGGAAAACTTTTTCAATGCTATTAGCGCATGGTCTTCCAAGTGTCTTGTTCACTAGTATTTCTTCTGAAATCTTTATAATTATAGGATATGGTGGGCCATGGCATCAAAATCTAATGAGGTAGATCCACCTGTTCCAAAGATAACTGGTGGTGATGCAATTTTGAATGAGTTTGTAATTGATTGTGTAAACACATGACTTCTGCATCCTGGCCTCTGTACAAGTAATTATAATAACAATTTCAGATCTTCTGGGACAGAAGAAGTCATCAGGAAAAACTGATGCATCAAAATCTGCATTTGGGCCATTGGGTGCAGGGGCTTACTGGTGTGTTGAAGAACAAGGACAAAAAACATTGCATGATGCACATTTTCTGTTGTGAGTTACAAATTGGGATATTATTTGGGATGGGATGAGTAACCCATAGGAAAAAGATTTTCAAACATTGTTAAGCAATATGCAAAATGTATCATGCCAACAAACATGCATGCAATTGTTGACTCCTCTACCTCTACAAATAAATCCACAAACTGCCAATTAACCATGATAGCATGCAGCAATTGCAGGGGGTACAGGAAAATCAGAAGTAATTCATTCTGTAAAAAACATCATTCTTGTGCTAAGATGCTTTGGTGTGCAGAATTGGGAGTGAACTTTTCCAACAGAAGCTTCCTGTCACAGGCATGGTGACTGGAACGGCAACAGCTAACATCAATCAGGAAACAATACATCAAGCTTGCTGTCTAAATTTTGACAGATCTAACATTACACAGGATGATGCATTGGGAAATGAGACTTATCTTCTCATTGTTGATGAGATATCATTTGCTAGCATCAAGCAGTTGGAAACATTGAACAAGTATCTCAACTTGTTCTTATGTAGTAATAAGCCATTATACTTTAACTTATATGATGGTAATCTACCTGTTGTCTTTGCAGGTGACTTCAATCAACTCAAACCAGTGGGAGGAGACTCACTCTTGATAAAAAGGACTTCTATCTCTGGAAAGGAAAAACCAACACATTTTTTGAACTTAAAACAAAACACAATTTTAAAAATGATGTTGTAGTCTGTGGGAAGCTTCTTGATGATTGAAGAACAACAAATTGCTTTAAAGATGAGCATGATGTTCAAATGATCAATTCAAGAACAATAGTAAAACCTTGGGACAAACTCACAGAAGATATTACTTATGCAACATACAGCAACACAGACAAACATGCAATAAATGATGGCATATTTTCTGAGTTTCTCAAAACAACACATTCAAAGAATATAAATTGCAGGCTGCTAGATCACAAAATTGCAATCAAAGCTTCAAACCTAAAACTACAGATAGACAGAAAAAATACAGAGAAATGGTAGATTTTCAGAAGTATTACTTACTGACTGCTGCATCAGAGGCTGATATTGTTGTAGGTATAACAAATCTTCCAAAATAATTACAGATGTCAAGATATCTAAAGCAAATGGAACCATGTGTACATTCAAGTCAGCAAAACTAAAAAATGGGTACCGGATTTCAAAATTAGCTATCAATACTGATGGATATTTTGTTTGATTGTGTGGATGCTGACAAGGTTCAATGGATAGAGCTTGTCCTTCTTGAAGAAGGAAGCTAAAAAAGGGATCAAGCTCACTTCACTTCACAATGCTCTGCAGCACAGGGCAAATTTTGATGCTGTCCTCAAGAACACAAGTCTAAAATTTCACATCAAAGGTGAACAAGAAGTCACAAGGGAATATGCATAACTGAATTCCCAATGAAATTGCCAATGCAAGAACTGTTCACAAATTACAGGGAAGATCTTTTGAAAATGTGTTGATTTCAACTTGGTCTACTACTTACACAAAGTGACGAAGTATCTGCATTTATGTTGTGCTTTCAAGAAGAGGAGTGAGAGCTTCTTGTTCCAGTGGTCTATTTGTTGTGAGAACACCTCTTCTCTTCTTAGTAGAAAACAACACTAGTACCAACAATATCAAACATAGACAACAAATTGATGAATTCTATTCCTAGTAGTTTAGAAACAACAAATTGCCACAGGGGTTGGTGGTTTCATTCACTTTTAAGTTCTTTTTCATTTTCCACCTTTGCTCTCACCTGGTTTTTGCACTGTACTACTAGTAATGAAAAAGTACTTGCGTCAATTGGCTAGTATGGTGCACTACACTGCACTTCACTAACTTTTGTGCGTGGTAGCCAGTAACTTTGAAGAATTCTTACAGCCCTGGACTTAGCAAGGAAACAAAAAGAAACTTGTTTTTAGTGTGGATTTGTACAAACCCTGGTATATCATTTTTTGCAAATAAATTAGTACCTTGACCAAAAATAGATTATTCATTTTTAACTTAAACATTCAGTCATTGTTGTGACAACAAGTCATTCTACTAGTAGCAATAACCTAGTTTTTGCGCCATAGAAAGTTTTTTTGGCCGCTGCCATCCTTCAAAAAAAAAAACAACGGCGGCGACCGCAACCAATTTGTGTTCATTGTTGACTCCGTGGATTTCCCCCTGAAAACCAGAAATCGGTGGTGCTGCGATTTGACAGAATTCGCAAGTACCGGTATCCAATCTAATTCAGCTACTGAAATCATGTTGACACCTCGAAACTGACAACAACAACACTCATCTGACTGGGTACGACATGCGTACCTAGGATCACGAGTACACGGTAAAGTACCTTATGACTTGTTCGAAGTGACCGTTGACCACTGCCAACTCGTTCGGCAGCCTATTTTGCCATTGCAAATGCAATCTGTATTCGTCCCATGTCATCGCCGATGCATTTGACAACAGCGTCCACTGTCACGTTGACGCTTTATTCCGATTGGCATTTTTGCAGCGGTTGTGGTTTTCCCCGGGCGAAAGACGGCAAAACTGCAGGAAAGTGCGCCGAAAGAGAAACCGTTAACGATGTCGCGACGAAGCAGGAAGGAGCTGAACAACGGCGTGTTTGCCAGAAGAAGCTCTCGATTTGTCGGAGGTGCAAAACCGCCGCATACCACGACTCTGAATGCCAAAGGATTCACTGGAAAAGGGGGCACCGCTACGACTGCAACAAACTGGCCAAAGCCATTCAGCCGCTCAAGGATATCATTGCTTCCTTCGAGCACCACCGCGACGTGACACGCGGTAATCGTCGACCGCAACGTTATTGGTGGGATCTTCTCGATCCACGAGATGCGGCATATTCCAATCGGTTGTGGAAGGAAAGCGCGGTGAGGTGGAATCGTTACGGAGAATATCTAGAGGCGATGGAGGGCTTCCAAACAGCGCTAGCACAAACAGGGAAGATGTGGAACGATCACTCAGTAACAATTGCAAACAACGCTCACGATACCAGCCACTTGGAGAAAACTCAAGACGACAAAAGGTCCCTTTCGTCGTCCCCCGTCCAGGATGGCGACGATGGCACCGACGATGACAATTCATCGATTTCCAGCGGCATTCACCTGGCTCGGAAGCTTCTATTCTGCGCCTACTGCGAAGCCGATGGGAATCAGATCCAATCTGCTCGATCGAGACTGGCGCAGTGCGTATCAATACTATTGGAAGGTTGTTGTTCTTCGTCTTTGTTGTCGCCCTCCGACCCCAATAATCGAGAGCTACAGAAGCGGCAACAACTACAGAAGACCATCAATCCCCTTCTGGATGACGCATGGATGGAACTCATGCTGAGCTACGAGGAGGAAAAATCCCCCGAAGTCCGGAGGATCGCTCGTCATGTGGCGCACATGGCTATTCAGAGCAGTCGGAGGCCTGGGAGCCTTTATCGTTGCGAATGGAAGGACCCTCTTCAACGCCCTGGCTATATGGCTGTATTGGGCACAATTTGCGATAGGAATGGAACAAAATTACACCCATTCCAGTCTTCGGTCATGATGCAGCCCTATATACCCCCCGAAGCGCATCCTTCTTGGTGTGAAACTCTCGAGTCGAACTGGGAAACAATTGCGAAGGAATTGTCGGAACTAGTCGCCGCGGGGAAAGCATCCTCGAAGCAGCGGTGGGCTGCCGTAGGATCTGGAGATCGTGGATCTGGGGGCGACGATCATCGCGTGGTATCGGCGTAGGTTGACGGCCCACCTCGGCCTGGTCATTCCAGACGAGGAAGCTGGAGAGTGCAAGATTCGTGTCAAGAACGAATGGCACCGCTGGGAAACAGGAAAGGTCATGCTCTTTGACGATTCTTACGAGCACGAAATTCGAAACGACACAGATCAAGTTCGAATCGTATTGCTCCTTCGCCTTTGGCATCCTCTGCTGTCTCCTGATCGACGGCAGAAAGAATTGATGGAAGCCCGGCGCCGGAAGGAGTTGGCCGTCAGTAAACGATACCACCCTTCAGAACATTGAGATAATTACGACATTTCTTTTCTAAAAGAAGGGTCTGAACAAATTTACCTCAAAACCTCAAAATTATTTTACAGAAATAGTCAAACGTGCAATGTACAACACACTCGGTATTCTATCAATTAGTTTTTGCTTGTCCCCTTGATTGCGAGGATTCCATTCGCGGTAAATGCAATTGCGATCTAGCTTGAGCGACTCTCGTCGATCTGTGTTCGTTGCGTAATCATTTCCTTAAAAGTTGGTCAAGATTCTGCCTTCAAAGGTTCCGGCCTTGGTGAGGATGTCGGTGACGGCCTCCGTCATGCCCTTCATGCCGCACATCAGGGCTCCAGTGTTTCTTGGAACCGGTACACCGTCTTCTTCGAGTGCATTTTGGACGTATCCGGTGCGCCCCTGCCAGCTTTCAGACGGCTGACTCAGAACGGGAACCACTTCCACTCCATTTTTTTCCCACAATGGGAATCTATCGACAAAGCACAGGTCGTCTTCAGTTCGAGCACCATAATAGAGACGAGCCGTACGGGCGCCCGTCGTTTCGAGTTCACCGGATTCGATGGCCGAGCGAATGGGAGAAATCCCGCTTCCGGCCGCAAAGAGCAAGACGTTCTGGCAGGGGAAGTCGTATTTGAGGGAATCAAACTCTTCCTTGACGGGGAATCCACCGCCCAAGACCTGAGAGATTTCGAGGTTTGTGGCGCTGCCTTCGGTCAACCACGTGTTGTCGTCCGTCTTTTTGATCAAGAACTCGAAGCGTGCGTTTTCCGCCTCTGGAGGACTCGCAATGGCCAAAAAGATCGGCTTCGTCTCCTCGTCGGGACGAAGCTGGACATACTGCCCGGGGATAGTGAATTCCTGGGCGGTTTCCGGTGGGACTTCAAGGTTCACCACCACACACTCCTTCGAAAGGTTGCCGATCTGGGTGTCTTCGACCACCGACCCGCTCCAAATTGGATCCGGCCCCCATCCCATACAGAGGCTACTGCTGCTTGTTGCCCCAGCGGCATGGTGACGAGGAGTGACGGTGAAGGCAGACGTCGTGCCTGCGAGCAAGACGAGGGATAGAGCAGCCTTGAATGAGACCATTTTTCCTGTGCTTTACGCTGCTGTTGTTAATTCTAGGTGACGATTACGATCCTTCCGGAATAATAGAATATTGGATTTGAAGCTCACATGGACAAGATGAGAACCGTACAAAGTAAATACGGAAAGCTGCTACCGTCCGACTGGTACAGTTATCGGTTACGAATTGAAGTATTTTCAATTTTCACATTACCGGTACACCTGATGTAAGGTGAGTACGTACGTGAAGGTAAGAGTGATACTTAATGTACCGTCCGTACGTACCGCAATGGTTGAATGATTGAAGATAGAAAACTGATGCGTTCCAATCCGATCTTCTCTGGCTGAACCGAAAAGTGTCAGACGTCAAAACTAAATCACGTAAATGTGTACGAGTCACAACGAGGACGAAAACAATGTGAATAGCGATGGTTCATTCCCGTTGTGAGGCTAAATCACGAGTAGATAGTGGGAAAGCAGTAACCAGCACAACCTCTCTCTTTTTTACAAGTAATGTTTACTGTAATGCTACTAGTGGGACTGCATAATAGTACAAAAAATATTTTGTTTGTCATTCATCTATTACTTCCTGAATGACAATTTTTGTCACTCTAGTATGTATCCTAGTAATTATGGACAAGTAACAGCAGTAACACTACTGGTGTGACTGACATACCAGCAGCAGCAGTACTAACAGCGGTATTGAATCATCTGAGAACCAATAATGACCTAACTGATTAAAAGTAGCGATAGCTTTGATAATCTTTATTCAAGAAGTCAAACGTCGCTTTAATTTCATTTGGTTTCTTTTTTTCGTCGGTGGAGTTGTTTCTCCATCTCTTTCGTGTTTTGAAGGAAGATATTTCATTTGATATTTAAATCAGTTCACGTCAATCTCAAAAGTGATGAGGTTGTATTGCCAAATTTCAAATTTCTATATTTGCCAAATCCGCCAACCAAGGAAGGCGATTGTTGTTTGCTAGTTAGAGTCAACATCAATTGCACATGCACCGGATGGTACTGCTTGTTATGGTTGTGGTTGATATTGAGAATATCACCCATCAAAAGGGCCATAGCTTGAATCCCCCTCCTGCTCTCTGGCCGGAAGGCTGAATATTCGCATTTGCATATACTTCCAATTCAACGAGCTGAAATTTTCCACGAACGGGCCAACCATTGTCAACATCGTCGTAAGCACCACCCACTGATGAGCTACCTTGCTTCAAATTCCCAGCACTAAGGGACCGATCTTCCATGTCAGGACCAGCAAATCCGCCCATGATTGCTGCCTGTGATTCTCCAATTTTCAAGTCTGCCTGTTTTCGAAAAGGGTCAAAACGAAAATGACGAAAGATGTCGTGAATTGTATCGAGGAATATGATCGGTACAATGCAAATAAAAGGTAGTTGAACATAGTTGACCTACAGCTCCAAAAACAGGACCGGCACTGGCGTAGTCAAAAAGTGCTGCGTTGCCACCTTGCATCACGGGGCACTTGACGGCTTCATTCCCTCGCTGAAACCACAAAAATGCCGCATTTGACGACACGTAGTCGTCGGTACTCAACCATCCCTTTAGTTTTCCGATGAAAGAGTAACAGCAGCAACAGCAGCAACCCGAAACATCAGAAAAATTATACAGTAGAACGCAAGGGAATCTTTTAGATCAAGTCTCCGCGCATCGTATGTAAAGTTTGAAACTACGCACCGTTGGACAGTAGCCGCCGAACTTTTTCCCAGATTTCGAGAGGCAAACAACAAGGGCAGAGCCACGTGAGTCAACATTTTCGTGAAAATCAAGTGCCGACCAACCGTCTCTTGAGGCTTTGTATACACATTGTAAATCAACGTTCGACTTGGAAGGGTCGATGTTTGTTCCATCCAATGTGGAAGGCGGAAAAGAGAGATTCTCAGGTACTCTCCCTGTGATCCCGGCGAAAGCTTCACCAAAGGAATCAACAGGGGCAGTTTGCATCGAGCAGATAACAAGGATCGCTAAGGAAATGAGTTGCCATTCCATTTTGAGGTACAAATTCAAAATTATTGTTGCCCCTGTTCCGAGCGTCGATTCATGGATCTACCAGTATTTCGCTTTGGCGGTAACTTTTCGACATGCGTTTCGTATTTTTGGTATCTATCGCTGATGTACCGTATTGACGTACCGGACAACAAGTACAAAGTCAGGAATTTGGAAATTGTACCTCCGCGTACATCGTATTGCAGATAGATTCAACTTGGAAATCAATCAAAGCAAATAGATATAGAAACAAAAAATTAGGTAGCGATGGCGCGTCTCCCATAGTGTAGTTGGTTATCACTCGAGGTTCTGATTCTCGCAACCTGAGTTCGAATCTCAGTGGGAGAAACGTGAACACTTTTCTCAAAACCGTTTTTTTCTGCTTCTTCACATTTTCGTATGGCGTTGTTTTTTCTACAGGTTCGAATACAAGTCATGACGGACCGTACCAGTCCACTACTTGACGATGTTGCCTTCGTGTTGCCGGTAGACTATCGAACAATTGAAACGAGTGATGAACACGGATGATACTAGATTTACTGTACATTAAAACATTTCTCCTTAGCTGTCTTCACTTCTGTGAAGAGAACAGGAAAGTAATTCAAACTGACCACGAGCATACACGTAATATGGGAAAATAGGGGTTGCGACGGTGACCATGATTTTTGTCTCCCATGGTTGGTGCTCGTCGCAAGCGGTGCCTACCACGATCAAGGAAGAAGTACATTCTCGATGATATGAATCATGCCATTGCAAGCTTCGATGTCAAATTCAATGAAGTTGGAAATGGTGCCATTATTTCCTCTCCCTTTCTGACCGATGGGTATATCATCGTCACACTTGATCCTTGTATCTCTTCCATTGGCCATTGTGATCAGGGTAGTGTTGTCTCCTTCGTTATCACAAGGAAGATCTTCCTTAGTCAGTACTTCTTCGAAAATGTGAAACCAAGCAAGGTCTGTGATGTCCTCTTCTTCGACAATCGTCACGTTTTCCGGAATATCATTCAAGGGAGCAAAAACAGTCCAATTTCCGATTGAAAGTTCTTGCTCGATCTCGTCGGATAAAAAGCCGCACAACGAAGTCAAGTTCCTGTCTTCACCACATATCACATCAACTAAGTATTGTGTATTCATTATTTTTTCCCAATTCGAAAATTCGAAAACAGGAACCAAGAAAGTGAGATATCTCAATTGTGGAATACAGAGGTTGACAAACAGCCCACATATTGGCCATGCGATCGTACAAGCCTTCTTTTTCTAATAAAAAATCATTCGTATCACATACCGATCGAATCGCAAATTTCTGACCAATCAGAGGACGAATCAGAGGACAATCCCGTAGGTGCAGGAGATGTGCGCCGATTTTGCGTCACTGAGGGCGCCGGCGATATCGTTGGCACTGCGGATGGCGCATTTGAATTTGTTGGTGAGGCCGATATTGATGGCGATGGCGTTAAACATGGCTTGAAGGTGTTCCGTTCTCGACATAGTTCTAACTCGGTGGCGTCCATTTTCTTGAAGTTGGTGCAACTGACGGAGCCACATAGGTTATTGCCACCTGTAGCAGTTTCAAGATAAGTTGTTGTGAGGTCATCGTATTACTTCATGATGGTAATCAGTTATCGCACTTCAACAATTGCGCTCCATTGGTTACAAAACTTACTCAAATCAAGGAAATGTAATTCCTTCAACGATCCAATCTCAGTCGGAATCTCTCCTGTCAGAGAGTTTTGTCCTGAACATTTCATAAATCAAGATTATGAATCGATGCCCTAATAATATTAGATGTGGAACAAAGCTTTCGTTTGCAATTCTTCAAATTTCACTCAAGATAAAACTCACCCAAGCTCAAATAAGCTAAATTTGTCAATTCACCAATTTCATTCGGAATAATACCACTCAATTTATTTGAACCTGTATCGATACCAGTCAAGTAGGCAATGAGGAATCCAGAACACATGAGATTCGATACACTGATAGAAGTGACAGAAAAACAATAGCATATGGAGTTGCATTTCTCTGTAATTATTCCAGTTTTGAACTTACTCAAATCGAGATGAAATAACTTTTCCAAGGATTGAAGCCGGTTGGGGATAGAACCAGTTAGGGTATTAAAATCTGTTCGTTTTGGGAAGGAAAGGAAAATACGTAGGTCAGATTGACATTGTTACATGGTTTTCTGTTAGAGACCGACTGAGTTTCTTTCCCTTACCTAATCTCAATTTCGTCAAATTCTTCAGTGAGTCAATACTGTAGGGAATTGTACCATGAATCGAGTTCATATCTTCCGTATTCATTTTGATGTAAGAAAAAGGAAATGTGATAAGATTTTATTTGGGTCGACAAATTTTCGTTTTGAATGAAAGTAAGATTGCAAACGGACGAACGACTTACGCAAATCAAGCTCCTCCAGATGCAAGTGCGTTATGTTTACTGGAATTGTTCCTGCGAGGCTTTGATTACCTTGAAAAGTCGCGAATTGAACAAGGGTTAGTTGCTACAAGCCTTTGCTTAAAAAGAAAAAAATATGTAGCTCTACTCACCCATGTTAAGTGCCATCAAGTTTGTAAGTCGTCCGATTTCGCTTGGAATTGAACTGCTGAGTGTATTCGTCGTCACTCTATCGTCATTGACTTCCACATTAATATCCCAGACGGTTAAAAAATTGCTGATGTTGAGGTTGCAAATAGCGTCAGGTTCTACCTTCGCAATAATGCTGGGGGACTGCTCGCTCGGTTCTGTAATGTCCGAAAGAATTGGATTGACAGGGACCGAGAATACCACATTGCCATTGCACTCAAGCAAAAGAGAGGGTGGCTTCCAGTTGCTTTTCCATTCTTCGAGGTCATTGTAATTACTATTTCTAGCCCATTCAGGGATGCCTTTTGAGTTGTAACGAGTAAGATAGATTGTAAGATCCACCATATCTGGATCTATGCAAGATTGAAATTGTTTAGCTCCCGGTGTGTCTTCGCCAAATGCCTGATTGGCCTCCTCTGGATGGCAATCAGCATGGGTACATGTCGTAGCGCAGCAATCTCCACCATCATATTTGTAGTCAAAATTGTTCAAAGCTTTGTCGCATTTTCCATCATTGGCGATTGAGTCACATTCAAAGAATCCATTGTCTCCGTTCTTATTACCTGGATTATCAATGAAATAAACATCAAGAGGTTTATTGAAAGGCGATTTCCACCCGATTTCAAAAGCCGATGAAAAGTCATAGGAATTGGTCTTCTCTGAATGCGCAATTTCACCCTTTGTGCTGTCGCAAAAATCTTGATTCGGATCTGACTCATTGTAATTGACAAACACCCATGTACGATCCGCGTGGCAGTACCCAAGCATAGCGGTTTCTTGAGCTTCATCTTTATTACTGTATACTAATCTCCCATCGGACTCGATGAAAGAATTACCTCTTTCATACCTGTAGCAACCACTGTAACGTTCTAGGCCTGTTTCTTCATCGAATTGCACTCGAAACATGTGCGTTCTCCATTTTTTGTTGTTGCGTTGATACTGAACAACTGAGATACCCAATAGCAATAGGATAAGGCCCACAAGAAACACCGAACCACACCAATGCAGGCATTTTGCACTGTATTTTCCCTCTTCAGGAGCTTCTACCTTTTCCCTCTTCTGAAAATAGCGAGCATTTTCAGGTTTCCTACAATCGGTAAGAGGTTTACCTTCGATGTGTTTAGCTGCACGTTTCAATTTTGGACCATACTTTCCTGAGCTCGCTAGTTGGAAGGCAGTATCATCAAAACTAGAAATGAAATTCTTGAATTACCACGGTGACAAGTAGCAAAAAGTATGCACAAACTCCGACATAAGAAAATGTAATAGACTCAAGTGATAGTCACAACAAGGTATGCATAATTACAATACTTACGACGGCGGAGAAATTCAATATAATATCAATCACATCCGTGGAAGTCATCACCAATATGATTATGGTCAAGCAGGCCAACAACCCCTGGAGACCCTGAAGAATGGAAGCGATTCTCGCAAAATGAATATTTTCTTCCCTTCTCTCCTTAGGAGTGTTCTCATTTTCTTTCCGTGGAAAGAATACCACATTTTTACCAAAATCAAACAAACTTTCTTCTGGAAACAGAACAAATGCAAGAAGCGATGCGATTTGTGTAGCCCGAACAATCGAAGGGACATCTGCAGGCAGAAAATGCGCGACACCCCATCGGAATTCTTTGTTTGGATTGTCGATGTCGATCTCAGTGTTCCAATCTTTGACCATTCTGCTCAAGATCATGAGATAAAGAAAAAAGAATTGGAAAGCGATAACAAGTCCTGCATAGAGCATGGGAATAATGTTGTTTTTGTCGGGTCCTCCTTTGGGCCCTAAAGCAAAGAAAGACATGCAATCTTGCGGGTAGTTTTTGTCTTCATCAACGTCTTCGTCTTCATCTTCATCTTTATCTTCAGTGAGATTGTCACCTTCTGTTGCGAAAGAATTTTTAGGAGCCGTGGTGAGACGAGGAAGACCATATTCTGGTCGATTTTCATCATCTTTCATCATTTCTTCGCCCATTTCGTTCTCGCAATGTAAGTTTTGGAGAAAGTCAAACTAGATTTTATCAGAAGTCGCCGCGACGGATGAATCAATGATGGTTCATTTTCGCTCCGTTCGCCAAAACTTAATCGCAGTCATACCGGTTCAAGGCACAAAAATCATAGATTGTCATCACAGTACGAACTGGTATGTATCGTACAGTATTTTGATTTTCCACGAAAGATTTTGGTATCTGTTACTGTATTGAAGTTGTCAACCAGAACTTTAGATGAAAACAATAAGCCTAGTAGGTAATATCATGATAATTGTTTTGATTTTGTATCTCTTCCCGTTCTCGCCTCGACATTTTTATAACCCGATTTTTTGTGAAGTGTTCTTCTACCTCTCTTGTCTCCAGTACAAATCCTACATGGCAATAAAGAAAGAAGTACGACAGTATCGTACTTCCTCAAAAATATATATTTTTTTCCGTTGCGCATAACCTCCAAAATGTACGTGTGCTCTTTAGTGCCATAACTACGTGTTTACAACAAAGAGTGAGCTTATTCACTATCTACTCGTGATTTAGGCTCACAGCGCACGTGCGAGTGGCAACATTTTGGCAGCATGCGTTACCCAAATTTGTACTATTTCGCAGTTTCCATAACTTAGGGTTACTCGAACGCAATACACCGTGTTTTCCCATGAGAAATAGAGAAAACTCCTTGCTCATATTCCATGATCCTTGGCACCAAGAAGAAGGTGTATAGAGAAGATGACTAGATGACTGTATATTTKGGGGCTGGTGGTGTAATATTGTAGGCATGTGGGCACTTGTATGAGGCAGTAGAGTTGTGTTGGTCTGTAAGGAGAGAGGAACATACCTAAAAAATTCTTGTTACCATGGTGAGGGTAATTTTGTTGGAAGGAGGAGGGTGTCATAGCCTGTGGGTGTGACTATCTAATGGTGAGGATTTAAATCAAGGGCTAGAAGAAAAGTAACTCAATGCTCTTATTGACAATTAACACACCACTATAAAGTCTAAAATCGGTCAAAGTGAAAATTGAGTGATGTGTGTGAATCTAATGAGTCAAGTTTATCATGAGGATCCATAAGAGTGTGGGGGTTGTGTATAATGTAGAAGTATATGAATCATGTGTGTGTATCATAGGTGAGTCATATGTGCAATGTTGTATCCTACTGACAGTATTCTTAACTTTTATAAAGACTGCAAAATACTGGTCTGGTGCCCAAATTTTTAGTTCAGGATTGAGTCCTTTCTAATTGACATCAAATTTCAGAGTTTTAGAATACCGAAAATGAACCAATATCTCACGATAGTGTTCTGCATACAAAGAATTTTTTGTTTAAAAGGCCTTCAAACATTTCTCTGCAGCGGAACATTCTCACTCCACTTCTCCGGAATGCTGACACCATCAATGCCAGGTTTGCCAAGAACATCTAGCTGGAGTGATTCTGGACTTGCTAGTCTAAATTCATTGAGTACAAAATCATTTACAAGCCCTCGCGTGCAGCTTTCTTGAAATATCTTCTGCACGATATCATCTCTCTTTGGGCCCGATGGCATCAGATTATTACATGCCTTAATGAACATTCCCAAAATCGAGCTATCAACCATAAGTTCTGCTGATGATCTTACACCCTTTAGTACTGCTAATGCAACCTGGAAAGCCTCAAACTTCTCTTTGGAATCTCCTTCGGTATAAGCACATGCCTTGAGCACCAAATAATTGAGGTATAGCGATTCTTTGTTGTACTTGTGAAGAATTCGATTCGTTCGTTCTGCTTTTTTGGAATCCTTGGATCGCCCAACAATCCCCAAGGCTAACCGGTAGGTTCGTTCATCTTCACCAGACTCTGCTCGTGTCAGTATTCCCTCACGAATTTGCATTATTTGCTCAACTTTGGAAGCGATGGATGCAACAGTGAACTTTCTGCCTCGCCCGTTGTATGCCATCAAGACAGCACGAAACGTATCCGAATTCGGTTTCACTTGGTCATCCCCCATTCGGAATCGTTCGATCATCTCGAACAAAATGGCTTCTGCCTCTTTTGGACCATCATTTCTTCTCCCGACCGACCGAATGAGCACATTATATGCACTTGTTTGGGGCTTAAACCCTTCTTCTTCCATTTCTACAAACAGAGACCTGACGGTTTCATAACTGCTTTTTCCTTCTGAAGCAGCTCGCGCTTTCATGAGTTGCACCCAAGATTTATGGTTGGCCATTTTGTCCGAAAGAAGGGACCGAAATACAGTCTCGGCCTGATCGGGATCTCCGGCAATACCGTAAGCTTTGATCAATTTGTTGTAAGAACTTTTGGTCGGCGTATCTTGTCTCTCCAATATTTGTTGGGCCTTATCCGGTCGTTCCCTCATAGCCCATGCGTCCATGACACAGAGATAAGTCTCTTCGTTGGGTGGTGCAACAAAAGCATTCGATTTATCTTCCATTCGGTCGAGAATCTTTTCGGCTTCTTCCCCACCGTCGGGTGATTTGGAGTACGCATGAGTTTCCAATATTAGGTTATACACATCAACGGTAGGAAAGAATATGGCGTCATCGGTTTCTGCGTAGGTCGTAAACATTTCGTCGAAAATTTCTTGGGCCACGGTGACGGCCGATGGGTCATTCGATGACGTTTGAGCCAATCTTTGAAGTTGATCCATCCACTCTCCTTTTTTCATCCTAGCCGCTTCTGGTTCATATTCGAAAGTGCTCTCGTCGTCGTCTTCATCCAGGTATTCAATTATTTCATCCTCGTCGTCTTCGGCGGTGTAAGCGAAAAGATTTGACGAGGATAGGACAGCAGAAGAAAAACATCGACCGAGTGATTTCTCCTTCTCCGAAACCAATGGCGTAATCTTCGTTGATCCGCGGAAACTCTTCATCAACCACCCACTAGCGAATGGTGCCACCACGAGGAGCAAAAGCGCTATTGAAGTGGGGACTGTCATGGTGGCATTAACGATAACGAAAGGACCGGATCGCAAAGGATTTATTCGTTCGTATTTTTTTTATGTGCCTTCTACAAGCTATTGGGATTCTTACTTTTTCTTCGTTCCGATTGCAAATCAGTGTCTTTTGGAGCAATTATGGCTGTGATGTGGTAATCGTCCTATTAAAGAAGACGTTCTGATGTGTATGATAATCGTACTCGTAGTCGTAACGTATGAGGATTCGTGATGTGAGCTGTTTCGATCAGGTATCAAAAATGTGTGATTGGAATGATTTACAGAAAGGGTTACAAGTATCGTTCGTACCGTACCGTACGTACCGTACGGTACCTGGTAGTTGGTAGAAGTACACTACACTCGTAATCGTCGTCCCGACGCGACGAACCCGCCCCACGCCGTGCCGTTACGCCCCGTAAATACAAATACAAGTAAGAGTACGTACGTACCGTACGTGATCCACCCAAATGCTTCTTCATGCTAGCAAAAATAAATTGGTTTTGACGTACGGCGGTGGGACGACGTGCGAGGGATAGCCAATCAACAAAAAAGTTGCGCATAGAACACATAACGTCAACGTCGAGAGTGATAGATGAATTATCATGGAAAATTTCAAGTTGAATTCGGTGTCGAGTCGAAAATTTTGTACTCTTACCGAAACCTTCGACACAGCCCTCACTGGTTGATAACAAAACCGCTGCGAAAACTCGGAAGAAAACAGAAACCAGAAGACCGCAGACGTTACAGCATTGTGCATTGACTGTCACGGTGAAGGGGGAAGGGTGAACAAGTTGTGCTGACAGAAAAGAAAGGCACGAAAGAAAATGAGCAAGAGTCGAACCCTCCGATTCGAAGATGGCGCCGTGCAATTGCGACAAAGAATTGTTATTAGTCTATTATCACATAGACCTCTCCTCATACGGAATATCCGAGCTGACGATCTGGAACATCCTGGTTTGAAAGAATACGAAGCTAGCTTTTTGCGGCTTATCGATCGAATTACAAACGGTAGTACAATTGAAATCAATAGCACCGGAACGCAATTGCGATTTCTCCCGGGTGGCTTGTTGGGAGGCGATGTTTATCACGAATGTCCGAATTCGAGATCAATTGGATGGTTTATAGAGGGGATCTTACCTTTGGCACCTTTTGGTAAGGAAAATCTTGAGGTAACATTCACTGGAATTACAGACGGACTCTGCGAAATCGACCCGTCCGTGGATTATTGGAAGCGGTCTACAGGGCAAATATTCCAGGCATTTGGGATAGGCGTTGACAACGACGACGACGAAAAACCTGAAATCGAGATTTTACAACGCGCCGCTGCACCAACCACGACTGTTGAGAATAGCAACAATGCAAACAACAACTTGAGGAATTACACAGGAAAGGTTCGATTTACCTGTCCGATCGTCAAGCAGTCGTTGACGTCAATTGATTGGGTCGACCCAGGACGCATCAAGCGTATTCGAGGGAACGCGATTTCGTGCAAAATTGTGTCGTCCAGTATGGCCGCTCGCGTAGCATACTCCGCCAAGGGCGTTTTTCACCGACTTCTTCCGGACGTCTGGATCCATACTGACGTGCACACACCAAAACGAAATCGATGTGGGCCCAACCCAGGAATGATGATGGTTGTCACGAGCGAATCTGACACGGGAGTTACCTTGACGGCAGAATGTTGCATGAGCCATCACAATCAGCATCAGCAAGAAAAGAACAAAAACACAAGGGGGGCGGAACTTCCAGAAGATTTGGGAAAACGCGGCGCGTACATGTTGCTAGAAGAAATCAGAAGGGGCGGATGCATAGACACCTCGAGTCAATCTTTGGCATTCTTATGGATGGCTCTTACTCCAGAAGATGTTTCTAGGATTCGAGTGGGAACTCTTTCGCAGTACTCCATTGAAACCCTACGACTCATCAAGGAAGCATTTGATGTAGAATTCAAAGTCACTCCCGACATGGAGACAAAAACAGTGTTACTAAGTTGCTTAGGGACCGGTTATAGAAATATGGCGAGAGCGAGTACATAAGACACTTGTCATAAGAACCTAAAATCCCAAAAGTTATGCAATATAAATAGAAGTACTCGATTTGAAATTCTCGACATTTTTGGAGAGAAAAAAGCTGAATTCTGTAAGAAATTTCTGAAAACAGGAAAAATTGGTCCTAATTTTGGAGTTTTTTAAAAAAGTTGAAATTTACCAGAATCTTTCACCGCACGTACATCAAAGCAGGAAATCCTCGACAGGAATGACCAACGCCACTCTCCTACGGTATTTCGTCACAATACACCATATCCACTTCCCATGGTCCCAGCCCATCTTCACTACCATCTAGAAATAGAAGAGACAACATCTCAACAACCAATCAAGATATGCCAGGAACAACCTCATCAAAAGGTTCCAAGAAAAGGTGGTTTCCACTCGAATCAAATCCATCATTGATCAATTCGTACATTCAAAAACTTGGCTATGATACCTCGCTTTATGAATTTGTCGACGTATTCTCGACGGAAGACTGGGCACTGGACATGATCGCACAACCTGTCGCAGCTGTTCTAATGCTGTATCCCCTGACCGAAAAGCAAACCAGCAACACTCAAGATGATGTCGTCGCAACGGCCGAAATGAAAGACAAAGTATGGTTCACAAAACAACGCATCGGAAACGCCTGCGGGACCATTGGATTGCTTCACGCCCTCCTCAATGCTCCGGAACCGATCCGTATCTTCAAGAAGGATTCATGGCTTGAAAAGTACGCGAACGACTGTCCCATTTCACTCGATCCTGTGGCGAAGGCCGAACGCTTGGAGGAGGACTCCAAGATCGAGGAAATGCACGACGAAGCCACCTCCAGCGAAGCCAATGCGACCGATCGAGGCTCCGTCAACGACGAAGTACTCACACATTTTATCGCATTGGTATGTGTCGACAACAAGCTGTACGAACTAGATGGTCGGAAGGAGGGTCCAATTGATCACGGCCCGACATCGCAAGCCACACTTCTGAAGGATGCAACGACTGTCGTCAAGAAGTTCATGGCGAAAGATCCGACCGAAATGCGATTTACGATTACTGCACTTGCTCCGAAATGAAGTTCATCAAGACAGAGGGGCGGAGCAGGCAGTTGACTAAATACAACTATTAGATAAATAGACAAAGGAGGATGGGGAAGTAGAGTCCTGTTAAACTCGGACTCATAGACATTGAACTGTTATGCTACCTACATACCATCATTATACCTAGTAATTTCGTCACGTGACGTATTTTTCTGTTTGCAAAAATACTTTGCGAAAGACTTGTGCTATGTAGCCTAAAGCCCAGATGTGAAGAGCCACAGTCAACCCGTATTGAAAAAGGAATACTTGTTTTAATGTGAGCTGTGCTGGATGATTTTTGGTCCTATGCCGATCGGGACGAACTAATTAAAACAAAACTTGCGCATCCCTAGCTTACATTCGTATCATGGTTTGATTTTGAACAAGTCACCGTCGGCTCCTACTCCACCGACACCGCCAGCACTGACGGCCACAGAATCGTCAAGGGCCTCCAAGTCAATTCCTTCAATGTTGTTTGCGATGCAAGTCTCTGTAACTGTTTGTGCCGGCTCGTTCAAAGCCTCGTAGACCATATCGGCCATGTCTGCAATAAAGGTAGGATCGGTATTCGGTGCCGGACACCTCCTCCAATTTGAGACTCCGGATTCCTCGGCGAGTTCGCGGTATTCAATGTCGATTTCTTCCAACGTTTCGATGTGTTCAGAAACAAAACTAATGGGGACCACCACCAAATTTTGCACCCCACTTTCTCCAAGCTCCGGCAAGACATCATCCGTGTACTGCGCGTAAGTAGTCGGAATGGTGTAAAAGACGACAGTATAAATAGCATGAGTGTAATGCAGTGGATGATACATTCAGCAATCCCGCCGGAAAATGACTTTTCCATCAAAAGAGACAACGTCGAAAACAATAGCAATATTCTGGAACGACGATGCATGACTACTACTCTACTCTACTTACCGGGCGGAGCCATTCAATGGGACCTACGCGTGATTGATAACTCAAATGGATCGTCAAATCCTCCGGGCTGTTCGTTTCGTACAGTTTAGCTTTGATTCCATCGATGCACTTTTCCATTTGTTTTTGGTATGGATCGCCGGCTTCAATATACGACTTCGGTACTCCGTGGGCCGAAAACAGAACGTGAATCGGGGCCAAGTTGGGGGCATTATTCTTCGCTTGCGCCTTCTCCGAATCAGTAAAACTATCCACTTCTGTCTGTATCAGATTCGACATTGCTTTCACGTAACCAGGTCGGTCATACCAGCTAGGAACTACGGTATGCACCATGTCTCCATAGGATCTCTTCGAAAAATCTTCCTGCAGGACCCGGAGAGAGCTTCCCGAGGTAGAAATGGAAAACTGTGGATACAGGGGAAGGATCACCAGGGCCTTCACCTTGTCTCTGCGAATTTGTTCCAACGCGTCTTCCGTGTAAGGCTTCCAATACCGCATCCCTACGTAGGTTTTAATCGGCATATTGTATTTCTCTTTGAACGACTCAGACAACAGTTTGGCTTGCGCGTTAGTGTATTTTAAGATGGGAGATCCACCTCCGATACTGTCGTATGCCGCCCTACTTTTTGGTGCTCGTCGTTTGGCAATAAATCCGGCTATGATGTTCTGCAGTGGTGCAAGTGGACCGGGTAATCGAATAATATCTGGGTCGGCAAACAAGTTGAATAGAAATTCTAAATAGTTTCAAACGTTTTTTTGTTGGTGAAAGGGAAAAAAGCACCGAGAAAGGTGAGAAAAATGGAATTCTTGTATTCTCACAATCAGTGAAATAAGTTTTTCGACGCTTGTTTTACGATGAATTCGAACGGTGTTTGATAGGATCTTGCTCTCGTCTTGAATTTACTAACAGAACGTACCTTCGACATCGTCGCCCGTAGTGGGACCCCCAAGGTTCAAAAAGAGAACTCCGAGGCCACCATCATTACTATCATCGATAGACGATGGCACGATGGATGGAGAAGATGTTAAAGGAATCCCCGTAGCTGCTCTCAATTCTGTTGTTCTTTTGCTGTTACTCTTGTTTATTTTGGAGCGATCCGAGAATGATGGCGATGTTGAAAACAATCTTGTGGCTGTCCTCGGCTCTCTCTTGTACAAATTACAGTCAATATTATTCCGGATATCAGGTTGGAACACACATTTCGTACTTCCCCCGTGTATGAAGGCAGTCGCGAAGTTCTCAGCAAGGAACAGGGACGACAGAGAAGCAAGAACGCAAATCGTGCAGTGTATTCTCATGGCGCAGTCTTCAAATAGCTGTTGCGATGAACGACAGAACGTTCAGTTTGTGATGGGATGTGGAGACTGTACGGGGTGTTGACCTTTCCTTTACCACCTTTAGAAATTATTCTCAATGGGTTTTCGAGATTCCCAAGGATACTCGAGCTTATCGACGATCCCTAATGAGGAGGGTAAGACTCACTCGAAAGATGAAAGATAAGTTGATGAGTATCAAGTTTGAATCTCACCAAATAAATCAAGAACGCTCACTGCTGCTCCGAAGCACCTTCTACGTAATCGCACATGCCAATTAAAATTACCGATAGGTGATGACTCATGATGTCAGAGAGAGTTTCTCGTTCCTCTTTGTTTCTTCGTTGAAATACGTAACATCTGCCTTGCACATCATCTCGTACGAATACTGTACGGTACGGTAACTCGTACTAACGCGGAAGCCATTCTTTTTCTGGGGGGGGGGCGGGAGAGAGCTTTTTCAACGTGTGTGCGTCAGGTCCCAAAACGTTATTTCGATATTGACCGCTTCGACTAAAATTAGAATGAAAAGATTTGTTTCGTACCTTATTTATCGTAACAATGATACATACCTTACACCACATAAGGTGAAAGGGAAACGTTTAACGTGGTGACTAGTGTTGATTCGATGTACACGGAATGTCTACCTACGTCATTGTGGACACGAAACCTTAAAGAGAAAGGTGTCAAATGTGTAAAATTCTTCCCTATTGGTTAGATAAATCAAAAAGTATGAGAAAACCCTTGACATCTCGGTGTATCCCTCAGTACTTTTCTTCTGGGTTTTTTACCCTGTGACATGTATTAATAAATTCATAAATTCTTTTGTATCGGTGGACGTGCGCGCGAACGTCTGTCCCTCAACACACTCCTCGCTGCGGTTTTGATGTATACGTAGCTCCTACGGCTCTTACGTAGGATCTGTACCAGCTTGAACTGCAGTGCACTATTGAGTACACGGTCGTTAGCCGTCTGCTCTATTTCATTGTCATTGCTCAAGGACAGCAACAACTCTTGTCTCACTATTCTTCCTTCTTCGACGCCCGCTTGGCAGCATAGTACGCCTGCTTATATTTGATGCACTCCGCGTCGTTGATGCCTTGTATTGTGTTCCTGAATCTCCGGAATTTGCTGCCTTGCAGCGGCTTGGTGAAATAATCGGCAATGATATCCTCAGTCGGGCAATACTCCACAGTGACCTCCCCTTTCTTGATCCTGTCTGTGACAAAAAAGTATCGGATGTTGATGTGCTTGGTCCGCTTGGTACTGGATCGCTGTCCGTTCTTTTCCAGCTTTATCGCGCTCTCGTTATCTTGATAGATCACATTATTCATCCCGAGGCTTGTGTCGGTGGTCGGTCGATCATCCCTACAGTCGGCAATGTTGTCGGTCATGTGCTGTTGTTGGGCCTGTAGGAAATATCTTGCCCACAATATGAAGGTCATGTTGTCGTCTACTCCTACCACCTCAGCTTCCGTCGAGCTCTTGGTATTCAGCTTCTGTTTGGTGCACGTTGTGATTGCTGCTCCAGTACCGAAAGTCATTACTCCTCCTGAGTGGCTCCGCATGTCATTGTGTACGGCAAACGCTGCATCGACATGCCAGTACACGTTCCCGGTTCCATCCCATCCTAGGACAAGGGGTATGTAAGGCGTCTCGGCCAGGTAGCTCATTACCCGTCGCAACTTCTTCCAGTCATCTCTGTCAGGTGCAGATACCCGGGTACATAGGAAAGCAACGGCAGTTTGTATATCTGGTCGTGACCTCTTTGCCATGAACAGTAGTTTGGCCACATAGTGGTGGAACTTGTCCGCGTCCGCTTGATTCAATTTTGGTGATTCATCATCTACCTTGAATAGGTGCTCAGCCGCAGGGGTTACTGCTGTCCCTCTTAGACTGTCGGGCAAGTTCTGGATTATCTCTTCAAGGTAATCAAACATGCTGAACTTCACTTTTCCTTCCTCTGAATAATCTATGGTCATTCCCACGTAATCATGAATCTTGCCTCTTGTTTCCGTCAGTGGTGATTCCTTACCAAATTGCTCATTTAGATGCTGAATAACGCTGCTGACCATGGTCGGGTCAGTGTGTGAGATCTTGAGGTCATCAACATGCCACACGATGGTGCATTGCTTCCCATTGATCATCTTATTCACTGTGCATGGATCATATGGGTTGAGCTCAAAACCCCACTCCTCAAGCTGACCATACAGCTTCTCCCAGAACAGTAACGCCGCCCATAGTGTTCCGTATATAGCCTTCTCAGCCTTGGTGAATAGTGTCTTCTTCCCATTTCTGTTGACAAGGTACTTCCTATACATCTTTGGGTCAACCCTGCAAAGCAACTCAGCCATGGTCCCGTCAAGCCTAATATAGACGTCCTCCCCTTCTGGCATGGGTGTTTGTAAGAAGGCTCCTGGGATATCTACGGTCGCCACGTCCCTACCCTCAATGGCGTCGATAACACAGGACAGCACCAGTGCATACAACGACACTGTTGGTGAAGCCGCATCCTCTTTGCGGATGTATTCACGCTGTCTCCTTCCATCAGCACACCCTCTCCCTTTGATTGATGTATCCCTCTTTCGCTTTAGAAACATGAGATACGGCAGGGCTTGTGCAACCATCTCCCTTGTCATGTGTTTTGGGTCTAGGGCGGGAACCACTCCTCTGTCATGCAACTGTTTGAGCTCCTTCAGTACTGCTTCCACTCCTTCCGCTCCAAAGCGTCGGATACCTTCTTTCACCCCATATTGCTTGGTTGCATGTGTGGCTTCAAGGTTGTTGTAGTTTGCAATTGCATTCGCGACTAGCATCACACCTGTATGTTGCTTGGCAAGCTGCTGCACTCCTCGCATGTAACCTGCAGTGAAGAATGATCTCGCACGAGTTGTGCTTTCAAAACCATCCTGCTCCGTGAACTTGTTGTGTGACTTGGTCACTCTCTCGCGGAGCCGTGAGCTGATTGGCTCTACTGTCTCCTCCACAACGTCATCAGGCTCATGCTCCTCTGCTTCCTCCTCTGGCTCCTCTGTAATGCCGCTGGCATCAACCTCCACACCATTTGTCTGTTCTTGTCTGGCTGGTCCCTCATCATCACCATCTTCTTCCACCATGTCTGTGTCATTGTCGACAGCTTCTGTCTCATCCCGCACGTCAGTATCTACGTACCCACTCAACTCTGTCTCCACTGATTCATTGTCCTTGGGACTGTACGATGCATCTGATGCATCATCATCGTCCATGTTTGGACTGTCATCCAGGTCAAGGATGGTTGTTTTTCCACTGGCATCCCCAAAATAGATCCCTGTTGGCATCTGTTGTTCCTCAGCAATCTTTGTTACCTGTTGTACGATTGCTTTAGTTAAAGGGGTTGCTGTAGCAGACTTGCGATGGATCCTTTTGCGGCTGTTTATATCGAATGCATAAAAGCCCCCGGTAGTTGACCCCGTTGGTCTTAGGTACAGTGCATCCACAGCCCGCGGTTTCATCGTGTTATCAGTATCATCAACATGTGCCAGGATTGGTTCCATGAACTGGAATTTGCAGTCCTCACTTGCATTCAGGCATACTCCTGTCATGAGTTCCCTGACCGACTTGGTCTTGTGCACCCCCACTGTTCGACAGTTCAGCCAGTATGTAGCTGCATATATCAGCTCAATTAAGCAGCGTTTTGGAAGCTTCTTGAATGGTAAGTGATTCACATAACATCTCACGTTCTCTTTCAGTGTCCGGTTACTCCGCTCAATAGTGGGCTCATGTTGGCCTGCTGCGACACAGTGTAGCTCCACGGGTGGTGATAGCTTCAGCAAATCATCATGTAGACACTGAAACTGATTGTCCCCACTCACTTGTGTCACGACAAACCCTCTACTCTTGTATTGGCCAATCAGACTCTCCACGCAGTGCAGTAGTGTGCTCTGCTTGACGTTTGTCACTGCCCTGCTGGTTCGGAACCGTAGGTGTCTAGAGATTGAGTGGAAGAACTGCACCCCATTCACTGTCATGATATCCACATGGATCATTACCTTGCCATATCTGTCAAGCACCTCCGCTGGCACAGGTGACACGTCCTCTCTTATGTGTTTCCCCTGCTGTCGGACCGACTTGCCTTTCACAATGCTGGTATGCTTTCCGTATATCACCTCAGCATTCAGTATGTCCCGCCGTGTAACTCCACAGTTGGTTACCAGTTTGTTTTCAACCATGTGTATCAGGTCCCTGGTCGTTGGGAACCCCATGGTTTCCTGCAGCTTCCTGGCTTTAATTGCCCGTCTGCAGTCCAGGTCTGAGAATTCGGTCTGTCTGCCTTCCACCGATGTGATTGTCAAGACTGTCCCATTGGCTTGTAACATGTCACAGTAGTACAGGTTGCACTTGGATCTTTTGAAACGCCTTGCTCCTCCGCTAGGCCTGTGTACATACAGTGCATTGTCACAGTCTGTGTCCATAGTTACTCGGAAACGATCTGATACCAGGGCGAGTGACAGGACATTGGCTATCCCTCCCGCATAGTACCAGACTTTCCCAAAGCCGGGCAGCTCTCCTATCATGTTGGTCTTGGCAATCCCTGAATTGCAGTATATATGCATTGTTTGCCCGTTCGGTGCAGCTCTGATGTTTTCCAGTAAGTTTGGGTTCATGATGAGGTTGCAGGATGATTCGCTATCCAGTAGGATCCAGTTTGGGTTCACTCCTCCCTCACTGTGACTGTCGCGCTGTGCGAATAGGTGCTCCACTCTGTCACTGTATTGGAACGTACCAACAACACCCTTGTCATTCCTCTCCCCACTCCTCAGCCCTGGTGGGTTGGTGCTTATGTCATCCTTGTCAGGTGTATTTACCACTCCTCTTTGGAAAAAACAGTTCTCCTTCAAGTCCCCAAAATCTTCATCACATTCTACTGCTCGCATCAGCAGCTGGTGACTGGTCAGGTGGATTTCATCCTCCTCAGCTTCATCAGTCACATCATCCTCAGCCGCTGTGACTGTTCCGGCCGTGACAAATGTCGTTGCCTCGTAATGTGTCCTTCCTCCTGGCCTCCCATTGAATTTGTTATTCTTACTGCTTGCTGTGTTCCTTTTCCTGCTTCCTTCAAAGTGATTGAGCATGTCCAGTGCTTCCGTGGTGTCCGATGGATATGTGTTTGTTCCTAGACTGTACTGGTCCTCCAATGTCTCCTTGAGTATACTGTTGTCCTCATTGCTGCCTTCAATTACCAGCGTCGCCAGTATCTGTTGTATTGCTGATCGGTCGATGCTCTTCTTTTTGCTGTTGTCTTCATCCAGCTGCTTATATTCCTTGTATGAGAGTCCTCCATGCACATCGCTGTTAGTTGACAGCTCGTACTTGATGGCGGCTGGACACAGCAGGTCCCCACCAATAGCCTCCAGCACATCACATTGTTGTGTGATCAGGTCTACATAGTGCACACTGTCAAATGCCCGCTGACGAGAGCATATCAGCTTTCGCATTGCCCTGATGATGTTGGTCAGTGGATGAATCTTTGCCCTGTTTCCTTGGTAGTATATGTCTCGTAGTAGGGTGAGTAGGCCCACCGGGCATTTCATCCTGTTGATCTCCTTCCACTTGTTGCATCCCCGTAATCGTTCCTTCATTCCCTTGTCAACTTGTCCCAGTGCAATTGCATAGACCTTTTCCATATCAGAGGTGTACAGGTTGAAGTTCTTCACCCCGACCCGTACTTCCTCATCATATATTCTCATGAAAGCAGCCTTGGCAATTTCCACTTCCTTTCCACCTCTCGTCCAGTCTGCTGGGTCTGGCTCAGATGGCATGAAATATTGTTTGTTGAATCTTTCAAGCAGTTCAATTGAGGTCCCCACTTTCAGCATGTACTTTGATCTTCCCAGTGTTTGTAAACGTTCGTGTAGCTCCGTGAACTGCGTGACGTTCCCATTTGCTGTGAGGACTATTCCGTCGAGGTTTCCTCTGTTGTGTCCCGTGAATTTCTTCATGGTACTGCTTGATTCAGTGTTCCTTCTTAGTGTCGAGTTTTGTGTTGTTTGTGTTTGTGTTCTTTGTTTGGGCCTGTTCTTTTGATCAGCCCATCCACCGTCTCGTGTTGAGGATGTTCCCTCAAACTTCACCGGTTGTTTATCGGTGTTACCGGAGCCGGTCTTCTTATCCTCTCCGGTTTCCATCTTGGGCGACTTGTCGTCCCTTCGTGAGCTCTCCTTGGATCACTCTGTGTTTCAGGCCCCTTGGGTCCCTGTTCTGCAGTTACAGTTGGTTCTTTTAACTGTATTGCAGTCTGAATATTGCTATACTTTTTGATTTATGTTGATTCGATGTACACGGAATGTCTACCTACGTCATTGTGGACACGAAACCTTAAAGAGAAAGGTKTCAAATGTGTAAAATTCTTCCCTATTGGTTAGATAAATCAAAAAGTATGAGAAAACCCTTGACATCTCGGTGTATCCCTCAGTACTTTTCTTCTGGGTTTTTTACCCTGTGACATGTATTAATAAATTCATAAATTCTTTTGTATCGGTGGACGTGCGCGCGAACGTCTGTCCCTCAACAACTAGACCAGGATTTTTGATTTTTTGTGCTCAATTTGTAACAAGGCGTTGATGACTACAGTAACCACATTGCCAGGACTAAACTGAACCTATCCTAAGTGCACAGTCGAAGCAAATTGATTTAAATCACCAATCAGTACCTAAGAATCAAATCCAGAATTGAAATTATCGTCACTCGTAGTTGCTATCTTTGGAAAGTTATTATTACTATGAATGATAAGAGTGCCCCAGTGTCGAAATTGTATTTAAGAAGCGACAAAGCTATATTCATGCTGCAAATCTACTTTTTCGATTGCTCCAGTAACTCAGCTCGCTTCTTTAATTTGTCTGCTCTTGATTGTAGTCGAGCTACCATAGTCGCGATCTGTTGTGACTCACCCATAAGCTGGATTTCTTTTCTTCTCAGCGACATAACTTCTTGTTCCGTAATATATTCGACGTGAATTCCCCCTTTCATCAGTTCTGTCTTTCGACGAAGTGCATTTCTCACCCGCTCTTGTTTCTTAGATAACGTGGTGGAGACGCGGTCCATTTCCTCGGCACTCTTTCGAACTTCTTGCTCGACTCCACGCAATGTATTCGATGCAGATACCATGTCATCCTTAGCTTTGACCACCATTTGTTGTGCATTGTCAAAGGCCTTCCGCGCCTCGATCTCTTCTTTTCTTTTCTCTGAAAGGTTCTTTTTTGCTTCTTCTTGCTTAGTCAGCCAAACACTCCATTCACGGTCGATCTTATTGTAAGTTTCTAAGTTTTCCGTGAATTGGTTCTCGGTATTGCGCAAGGATTGGATCTCTTTCTCGATCGCTGCCTTTTTCATGTCCCGGCTAACAAATGAAACTGCGTCTTCGCTACTCAATTCTTCCAACACTTCTTCGGCTTCTTTACTAGTCAGGGTCAGTTCAGATGATTGAAGCGTGCCAAATATCCGTTGTTTCTTTACTGAATCCAGTTCTTCAGAAATGTATTTTGCCTTTTCTTCCTCCTCTTTTGCTCTGCGTTTGTAGAAACGAAGTTATTTGTGGCAGATTTTTTTCGAATCACAAAATCCGGAGAATGAGGTACGTGTTCTTCATTGCCAGATGTCAGAGGCATTCAGAAAACAACAAACTTACCGATATTCAAGTTCTAATGATTTGTCATTCAGGTCGTTTGACGTGTCTATGGGCGATTTGCCTGCCCGTTTTCCTGCCTCTATGGTAGTTGCGATAAATGAGTCCACGTCAAATTCAGCATTGTCAACATCTTGAGTAATAGTATCGACATCATTCTTCTGCTCTGAAACAGAATTCTTAACGACATCTTCCGTTATCTCTTGGTTACCATTTACGACGTCTTCGGTTATATCTTGGTTGACATTAAGTTCAGTAAGCTTTCTGTCAGTCTCGTCCACATCGATACCACTATTCGTATTCGTATTCGCTATTGCTTGCTTGACTTCTTGTTCGTTTGCCATTGCGTCGTTTTCTTCCGTTTCGATTGTTGCTGACGGTTGTTGAGGAGGTGTCGTTGGCGTTGGCAAATCGGATTCTGTCTGCGATATCGATCGTAAGTTACTAGCTATGTTCTTTCCGAAGGCGATAGTGGCCGACGTTCTCCGGAGGAATGGTACCGCCACGTTGTCCATAATTTTCGAAGCAACCGGAGCTACCTGTTCTAGACCTTCGTTGGTGAAGCGCTGGGCTTTTTCTCCCCATTCCTTGGCCTTCAATTCCCGATCGTATCGTTTTCGAAACTTGGCATTTCCGAGAGTTCTCCAGGCTTCTGCAACCTTTTGAAAGTCGACGTCGTTTTCCGTCGATCCTGTTCCTCCGATTTGAGCGTCCGGGTGGGAGACCCGAGCAAGTTTGACGTACTGCTGTTTGAGTTCGCTCCGGGTTGCAGTTCTGGAAGCTCCTAATATCTCGTAAAGGGTTGGCTCTCTGTCATCCTTGGTGTTGGAATCGGCCGTTGTACCGTTGGCTTTGCTGCCGGTATTTGCTTCCTTCCCGTCTTCAGGTGATTGTGGCTGGTAGGACAAGTGCAATCGAGTGGAAGGATCAATTCTGACAGTGCTTTTACTGTGATGTATCCTTCGCACCGTATATGCTGTGTCTATCGCTGCTTCATTTATTTTGCACGACGACAGACTATGCCGAGGAATTATGTAAGAATGTGTTGGGTATATTATAGAAAACGAAACCAAAACGGCAAAGAGAGCCACTATCGACAAGACGTTACTGTTTGATCTAGGAAAAGCTGTTGCCATGGGTCTTCTTTTGATACCAATCTCGTTCATTCTCTCGGTGGTGTGACTGCTATTGATGCAAATATAGTGATTTGAAATTAGTAAGCGGTCTTTGTATTTCGTTGGCGGCAACAAGATCAACTTGCTGATGATCATTGATTTTGGAGTTCCGATCCTCTGAAATTGAAATTGAAACGATCTTTGGTCCGTGCTGACCGGTACGAAAGTACGGTACTAGTAGGGTAGTATTGCTCGTTGAGGTGGTTGGTGGCATTTTTTCGTATTTTCTGCGAATTGTTTTTTTTTCATGCCTCCACTAGGTGGAAATAGTGATTCCATCGCATGGTGATGCAGGTTTTGAAAAGAAGAATTTTGAATTTTCGTCCTTATTTATTACGTGGGGCTGTATGTGACGCGCGTGACGGTGCGAGCGCGTGGTGACCTGTTCAAAAAGCCAATCAGCTTTTGCTTTTTAAACGACAACGAACACGTACGATACTCGAAGCAGAGCAGAACCAACGGCACCGCACTCGTGAGAACCATGGAACCAAGTTTCAGAACGGATACACCAATTACAATCCACCCTAAAATCAGAATGACCCAATAGATTCCCATATGCATCAATCGAAATGTTTGTATCGTACCGTACATCAACTTATTTTACTTCGAAGTAAAGTATGTTGATGGGAATGAAATCGCTTCTTGGAACTAACTTATGGTGGACTCCATGATGTGCTCCTTTCCCCAATTTCAGAGAAACAAGGAAATTATATTCATTACTGACTCATTTTCACCCTTTGGTGCAAGAACATTGTTGTTGGTGATGGTGCTGGTGCTGGTGCATGACTCCTCCTACCTATTCTTCTTCTTCTTGATCTTCTTGTTGCTTTTTTCTTTCTTCAAGAAAAGCAAACACAAACAACAATCCTTGCAAGTTTCTTTACAAGATTCTTGGTTGCATGGAAACTGCTTGGTGATGGGAAGAAGAAATTGTTCAGAAATCATTGTTATACGGATCCTCTCTTCTTCCTAGTAGTACTTGTGCTTTCCTGCTCCCTACAAGAAAATAATTGTTGGCAAGAACTGGTGAGGATGAGTACTGATGTTCAATTTCTTGGTTGCATGTGAGAAGTTCTTGCTTTGATTGCAGACATTTCGATAGAAATTTTATTCAAAGAGAGAATGGTTGCTTTGCTGCCTCTCTTTCTTACCAGGAGTCTTACAAATATTGGGCACCTTTGTAACTGTCCCAACGAGACTCAAAATAATTTTCAGTAAAGGCTTCCAATAGAAAATGCATCTCCACAAAACAAATTGCTAGTAGTGGTTGTTGCGAGGGAACGACAACCACTATTTGTGGATTATTTCTGCAAATGCCACTGGATATTTGCATACATTCAAAACACCCACACGATTTCTATCCATGATCCGCATTGTCTGAATTACTACTACTGCTGCTGCTGCTACTACTACTGTCTTCGTGTAAACGACAATGGTGTTTGCATCTACAATGTGCTTCTATGGTTTCACATACCAACACCGACTGCATGCAGTGGGCGTGGCATTTCGCTACGGTGATCCTCCTCGATCGCGTCTGCTTCCGCCCCGGCGTCCATCCTTCCTCGCCGGTGGTTGGTGGTCTGCCGGTGCGTGCCCGCCGGCATCCGTCCGCGGTGGTCGGTTCACCGCCCCCTGTAGTTCGGCGCCCGTCCCTCCCGAAAGGCCGCCAGGCCCTCCAGGCGGTCCTCCGTCGGCAGGACCCTGGCGTAGCACCGGCGCTCGACGTCGAGTGCCTCGGCCATGGACGCCGAGCGGCCCCCCTCGTCGATGGCCGCCTTGGAGGCCCGGACGGCGACGGGCCCGTGGGCGGCGATCGCAAAGGCGAGCTCCAGCGCACGCTCCGTGGCGCTGCCCCCCTCGGGCACCACGTCCGTCACGAGCCCGCACTCCCCGGCCTCGCGGCCGCTGAGCCTCCTGCCGGTCCAGACCAGCTCCTTGGCGCGGGACGCCCCGACCAGCCGCGGGAGCCTCTGGGTCCCCCCGGCACCGGGGATGATCGCGAGCGACGTCTCGGGGAATCCCAGGACGGCCTTTGATGAGGCGACGCGGATGTCCGCCGCCAGGGCCAGCTCGAGGCCCCCGCCGACCGCCACCCCCTCGATGGCGGCGATCACGGGCATCGGAAGGCAGGCGAAGCGTTCCATCGTGTCCCGGAGCAGCGTCACGTACTCGGCGGCCTCGTCCTGGGTCATGGTAGCACGCTCCTTCAGGTCCGCACCGGCCGAGAAGACCCTGTCCGAGAAGGAGGTCAGAACCAGGCACCGACAGCCACCGGAGGAGTGTCGTCGGCTCTCGTCCGTGTCGTCGTTGTGGGTCTCGTTGTTCTCGTTGTTGTCGTTGTTGTCGTAGTCGTCGCTGTTGCCTTGTTCCAAAATGTCCAAACAGTTCTGTAACCCCTGGATCATTTCTCTCCCCATTGCATTGGCTTTTGGGCGATTGAGAGTGATTTTCGTGACCATGCAAGACGCATCGTCGCCACTCTCCGCATTCGGGCCACGGAAAATGTTTTCCATCAAAACCTGCGACGGCGTCGATGATGAAGAAGAGAGGTATTTCTGATCGCTAGCCACACGCGGCATCAGGTTGCGACCCAACCGACCATTCAGTATACTGCGACCGAACCTGTGAACGGGACCCTTGATTGTGGTAGCCATTGTGCCATCCAATTTTCGATGCGGTCTGTTGTTGCAGGCATTCAAATGTCGAGCTGTGTGATCACAACCCGGAGATGTCACACAAGAGTCGAGGAGGATGCTGTTCGGAAGGTACGTCAAAAGCACCACAGACGTGCACTGTACTGTCGACGAACGAGAAATCGTAAAAGAACGAGTTCTGCCTGTCCGTTCTCGTTTCGTTCGATTCGACATCCGAACGAACACGATTGAATTTTGATTGCGATCGTTTGTTTTGATTTGATCTCTGTGTTTTGAGTCTGTCGAGGTTGGATTCGGTGCCTCGATCAGGGACTCAACACACGTGACTGAGCATTGTCTGTCCTTCCAACAAACCGATCGCCCGATGCTCGTACTCGTACAAACCACCCGCAGCATCGTGCGCAACAATCATTTATCGTTCTTTTTTCTTTTCGGTGTTTTGCGGTGATGGAACCACCGAACTCGTCTCGATTGTGACAAACAGCATCGTGCCGGTACGAGTGCGAGTACGAGTGGTACGAGTGCGTAGTATCCTCCACACCCCACACAATTTCTTCCGCCATACGAGCCGTGCGGTACGGTACCACAACCAGACCCGGCACCATCCATCCTTTTGCCTCGACACTACGTATCATACCAGCGAACCTCGTTGCACCGGGAAAAACTTCCGAGCACCACCCGCAATCGAACAGGACAGAGCGTCGCAAACGGAGAAGGCGAGCAGGGAGATATGATCGAGACCCCATAACAGGCAGCAGCGAGAGGAGAGAGTTTTTGAGTTTTTTCCTTCTGCCCGATCCACACGTCCGTCCCAACGACCGCGCCGCCCGCAGAAGCCGCTTCCTCCTTTTACTCCTGCCACCACAAGCAGCACCCGCTGCCCGCCGGGTCCGATCGAATCGAATCGTCCCCGGAGAACCACCGCACCACCACACCTTTCCCGCACAGAACGGAACAGCACAGAACGGAACGGAACAGAACAGGATGTTCGTCCTGACCACCGTGACCGATCGCATCCGGGTGCCGGCACACATGCTGGCGCTCCCGACGCTGACGGCCCTCCACAACGAGATCGACCTGAAGTACCCCAACCGCGTGCTGATGAACGTTGGGTTGGTCGTGTGCCGGTACGGTTCCTGCCTGAAAATCACGAACGGTTCGTGCGTGCCGGGGGACGGGGGCTCGCACCACGAGTGCCTCTTCCGGCTCGTCGTCTTCCGGCCCTTTGTCGACGAGGTCTGCGTGGGGAAGATCGTCAAGTCGACCCCGGAGGGCATCCAGGTCAGCCTGGGAAACTTCTACCACGACATTTTCATACCGGCCTACTGGATGCTCCGGCCCAGCCGGTACAGCGAGGAACTCGGGCTGTGGGTATGGACGCCGGACTACGGCAACGAGGACGAGGACGAGGACGGGGAAAGCGGCGGCGACGACAACGGCGAAGGCGCGAACCCCGGCGCCGACGTCAAAATGGAGGACGCCGGCCCTGCTTCCGCAACGAACGTAAAGGAAGAAGAAAACGAATCCCCTCCCGACGAACAAAAGACGGGGGAGGAGGAAAACGAAGAAGAGACCGAAGAATTCGAGATGGAACTCGGAGCCGAGATCCGGTTCAAGGTCAAGTCGATCCACTTCACCCAGGTGACAAACACCGCAAAGGGTGTCCAGGCAACAACGACCACCACGGCCCACTCGCAGGAAATACCAAAGGAATCGGAAGAGGGGAAGTCCCCGGACGCACGGCCGCCGTCCCTCCGGAAGCGGAGCCTGTCGGTCGAGATCAGCGACATGTCGAATCTGCCGGCGAGCATGAAAATTGTCGCTTCCATATGCGAGGACGGTCTCGGCCTCACGAACTGGTGGACCTCTGGGGAGGACGACGAGGAAGAGGAGGAGGAGGAAGAAAAAGAACAGCAATAAAGTGTCTTTCTCCAACCACGGCTTCCGTCCCGTAATCGCGGCTTGGAACTTGGTCGTTCCGGTCGAGGTGGCACCGTGTCCACTTGGTGGATCTCGCATGCCCGAAGAAATGAATGCACGGGTCCGCCTCGTCGAACCGGTTCCATCGAGACCTCTGTAGCTTCGTGCGCCATCTTGCTAACTAGAAATAGAATACCAATAAGAAAAAATGCAATGCTTGCAGAACACGAGGGAAAAAAAGCCCAGCACCCCACCGTATGTAGCACTCGTCCTGGCGTTCGTGTTTTTCGCAATGGACCTCTCCGATTTCGCGGTACGACTTGTTCATTGTGGTTCGTTGTGCATCGGAGGGGCTTTGCCGTCTTTCCTTGTAGCGAGGCAACGACGTTTGATTATCTAGGACGATGAATCTCGTCTAGCATCGAGGAAACCAAGCTTAGCTTGGTATCGGTTCTGCAGAGTTGTAGAACAAAGAACGGTTTGCATCACAACAGAGTTGCTGGTTTTGACGCTGCCTCCAGGAGAACCATCACAAACAGTACTATTCGTCACAACAAAAAGCTGCCGAAACTCTGGACCACCACCTCCTCTGTCCCCTTGAGGACTGTCTCTGGACACGAGATTCGACCACCAGATCTAGAAAACCATGCTTTGTGTGCTGCCCTGGTTGTGCTTTGTAGCTGGAGTGCTGCCCCTCCCTGAAACTCGAGCACCAGCACGCACTGCTGTGGTAGTCTGGGCCTTTGCACTACTAGCTCCTCGCATTTTGCAACGTATGCAATTTAGTTTCTTTTCAATCTGTTGGCCAATCGTTGGCGTGTGTTTATTCTACAACACAAAATCGGGTGTGATCACCCAATCAAATATTGGTTACAACAATGTTTTCAAATTGTGCGTCTGCAATGGCTGGTGCTTGACCACCAATCCTCTCTCTGCATTAACATGAACAAGAAGTTGTTGGTGGTGGTTGATATTCTCCTTGACAACCATATAGTACTCCTGTAAGATCTTAGATTGTGTGGACCGTGATGACCCCTCTAATACTACTACTACTAGTAGTAGTACTACTACTACCAATTTGTAGTAGTACTGGTAGCAGCCAGATGTGCCTGCAGGAGATTGTCACAAAGAAATCTCATTCAGGTACTGTACATATCCTGTTGGCTCTGCTGGTCTACTACTACTGTGACGTAGTACCACCGTCAGCACCCAGCAGTACTAGTAGTACATGTCTGCTGGTGTATTTCAGTGCAACAAGAATACACAGCATCATCATACTACTACTACTAGTAGTACTACTAGTAGGCTAGTACTAATGCTTCCCTGAATACAATAAGATTCTTCCAAATACTTCTTTTTGTATCTGTTTGAAGATTACTACTAGTAATAATATCTGATGATTTCTTACTACAGTATTCCCTAAAATCCCTACTGTACCTGACCAAAGTAACAAGGAACATTTCTTGCTGCTTTCCAATAATTTGACAGCTTGTTCTTCTTGGTTCGCTTTGACTGGCTCGAATCAAATATTCAAATATGGCCGTTTGATTGATCCGTTCCAGCACGCGACTTCCAAGTAAAAAGTAAAACTTAGTTGTGACTTTCCTCGTTCCTCGATCTTCGAGTCAACCTTCACATTACGATAATCATACCGCTACTGCTGTAAATTTTTTCAAACCAACTACATCGTACACAAATTTTGAAGAAAGCCGACGAAGATGGACTTACTAGGAGATCTCGGCACCGCAGATCAGTTGACCTCGAGTAAGACAATTGTATACGTCCGTCAATTAGTCATGCCATTTCCAACAGGGTTTCCGTCTAATTTGGACAAGTGACTCATATTTTTCGTGTTTGTTGCACAACATTCTTTACCACGTAATAGCCCGGGCAGAGAACGAAGTCTTGAAGGAGCAAGTGAAAGCTCTAAAACAGCGATGCAGTGTACTGACTGTCGAAAATGAAGCCCTAAAGGCGGAAGTAGAAATCTATCGCAGTGAGGCAACCGCAGCCCAAGCATCGTCTGGCACTGCAAAATCCGCAACATCGACAAGTCGGAATAATGAGTCGGTCGAAGCAGATCATTTTGTCAAATCGGGTGACGGCGGATATGCCAAAAACAAATCGGTCCTTCTCGAGAATTGCCACGGTGTTTCGAATGTACTTTGTTGTTCCATTTCTAACGACGAATCTGTGCTTGCAACCGGTGGAGCAGATAGAAATATTTCCTTAACACTCTGGAACAGAGCATTTGGAAACGAAACAAGCCAACAAGTCGTGGAAAGTTCATCGCGTATTGACTGCGATGCTCCCGTGATCTCGATTGATTTCTCTAGGAAAGGACACAACACGAAATTCGTCGCCGCCGGGTGCATGGATGGTACGGTGCACGTGCTATTTTACGAAAAGGATGGTTCGGTCATCAGTGTCAATGAAGTTTGTAAGGGTTTCATCAAACACGGGAAGTACGTAAAATGTTTGGCATGGTCGCCGACCGACAATATCCTGGCAACAGCATCTGCAGATGGTTGCATTCAGGTTCACAAACTCGAGTGGAACCTTATTGATTCCACTGGCGTTAAACTGGAAAAGATCCAAAATCTCCAGCTTTCTGGACCCATAGAATCTCTTTGTTTCCGAGAAGATCAGCTCTGTTGTTACGCCAGGGGGTCTCCAAATGTGTTATGCTTTGATCTTCAAGATAACTTTAAGCAGCAGAAGTTTCATCTCAACAAAGGCTCGGGGAATGCTTTTTTTGATGATCATGTATCCTTCGCAGTCATGGACATGTCTCCGTTTGAAAGAGACTACCTGGCTCTCGCAACTGACAGCTCTCGAAACATCATCATGGACTGGAGGTCAGGCAACCAGGTTCGAAACCTCTACGGCCACAAAAACGATTGCTATAGTCAACCCAAGCTAGCATGGTCAAAAAGTGGCCAATATCTCTACGGCAATAGTCAGAATGAATCTGTGGTCTGTGTGTGGGATATCGCAAGCTCGTCAATCGTCGAACAACTAAACGGTCACTCTAGCCCTGTGCGGGACATGTACTCAAGTAAGTCAACAGAAACATTGGTTACGACATCCTTCGACAAGAAAACCCAATTTTGGTTGTCAACAGACAATAATTGACTCAATACTACTACTAGATTATTTGGTGAAAATCACTGCTGTAGGTTTACAAAGTTGATATTCAGTAGTAGGACTTTATGTTTTTAGCAGCATTCCAGTCTAAAAGCTAGTAGTAGTACTACTAGTATAAAAAATGGTGATGGAGAGGTAGAAGTTAATAGTAGTACTAGTACTATATGCATTGAATGTGGTACAACAAGTAGATAGTGCATCATACTGTCTAGTAAGTTTGGACAACATAGACTGAATGATTCTTTCCTCCTCTCTAGTGATACTACTAGTAGTAGACTTTCCTTTGAATTTCTCAAATTGAGATTGGGGGGGACACCACCACCACCACCACCAGCACAAAATTTATTTTCTTCTTGGTGTTCTTGTTGAATAAAGCAAATTGTAATTCACTTTGCAGAAGGAGTGCAAGCACAAAGAGGAAATCCATCACAGTTTGGCCAAAGTCTATTGTGGTGGGACTTTCTGAGCTGGATCCATGAAGAAACTCTTCCATTTCTTCTTGTGACCCGACTTCATGTCGTATGCAGAGGAGCTACCATCGTCTGTCTGTGCTTCTCGGAAAACTTTAGCCAACGAATCATAACGACGAATTGGACTAAAAACCTGAGAAGAGATCAAATCTCAGCTCTCAAATTCGATCGAAAATCTTGTTCCAGTAGCTTCTGGTAAATCGCGTACTACCGGTTCCTCTTCGAGGAAGTGGCAACATATGGAACGGCACTCGCAACTTGCACCCACCAGACTTGAATGATTTTATGCGCACTTCTATAACACCAATTGAAGGAAAGATGGCTGACACCGATGATAGGAATGACGCTGTCGCAGCTTCAGATGAAGCCGACAGGAAGAAAGACAAAAAGAGCCAAAAAAAGAAGAAAAAGAAAAAGCAGAAGAAAAAGAAAGCAGCAGACAAGGAAGCCGAAAAACCTACCGAGACCTTGGAAACCAAGGATACGGGCGATATCAAGCCAAAGGACAAGGAGGCAGATGAATCATCGGCAACAAATAAAATCGAAGCTGCCACTACGGACAGCGACGACGATGACAACGACGAAGAAGATTTACTCGCCGCAGCTGCTCTCTGGGCCGGAAACGACGACGAGACGGAAGAAACACAGAAAACGGCCGGGAGAACAGTGCCACCCCGGCAAAAATATTCGCTGCACATCACACAGTTGCCATACGACTCCACGGTATTTGATCTCAGAAAGCTTTTTGCCGAACACGGATGCTCCATTACATCGATTCGTTTGGTATACGATCAAGATACCGAGGGCCGCAAAACCGTCTTTCGTGGGGTGGCCTTTATCGATCTCTTGGACGAGAGATCGTACGAGACAGCTCTGAAGCTCCACCACAACACTTCTATCAGAGGGCGCAGGCTGAACGTCCGCCCGTGTCGGTCGAAAGAAGAATTGGCAGAGATTGTTGCTCGCACTCAAGAGCTCGTCCAAGAAAAGATACGACAAAATCGCTCTGGAGAAGTAGGCGAAAAGGGTACGACAAATAAGGAGCGCGGGGCGTCGAGTCCAAATCCAAAGCGGAACGAGAATAATGGCAAGAGAAAGAATGATAAGCAAAAAGACAGAAAAAACAACAAGAAACCTAGAGTGGACAAAGATGGCAAGCCAATCAAGCTTACTAAGAAAGAGAGGAATCGACGAGCTGCCATCATAATGCAGAAGCGAAGGCGTCAAAAGAAATAATTATAATGGTGTTGTAATAAGAAAACTTATTTTTTGTCGATTCTACCACAACATTGTGGTGTTAATGTCTCACATTGACAAGCCTTGAATAAATGAAGTTCGGGAAAAGCAAATACGAATGTGTAGAAGATGTTGAATTTAAGCAGATATGTAAAATGTTCCCAATCGACCATTTGCCGATGACACGAGAGTTATTCACTAGAGCTAGTAATGGAAGGATGATCAATGCTTACATACATTCTTATTTTATTGGTTGATTTACAGCTTATTCCTTGCAGATCGTCGCATGTATTAAGCGTCGTATTTTCCGTTGGAACCCCATCACGACGCATTTTTCTCTTGCACTATAACAAGGCAGCAATGTAATGCATTGGCTACTGCAGTCGACATCACAAAATAAAACCAGGCTTACCCAAAATCAAAACCTCCCAGCGATGAAATCACAAAACATGTTGTTTCAGATCTCATGTTGGCATCACGACGACTTCCTCTTGGTTCCTTTCTTGGTTGCCGGAGCGGTCGTGTGACAGTTCGAAACAAAGGTTTTCAATTCTTGAAACAGGGCAACGGGAATTTTGTCAACGTTCAACTCGGCCTCGTCTTCGCCCATGTTTTTGGTAAGTGCGGCCGGGCACTTGTTGTCCACCTCCACGATCAATTTTCCCAGATCTTCCTTCGACAGCGTGTACAGACTCCGTGCGAACGATCGCTTTTCGTCAAGAGTCACGACACCACTGCTGTTGGAACTGGTGCCACCCCCACTGTCGCTGCGAGCATCCACTTGTAACTCGCTCGCTAACTTGGCATACTTTTCTTCGAACCGTTTCGACAAATTTTTGGCCAGGATGTAAAAATCGGATCCGTCTTGATTGTACGTCATACAGTTGGTCCATACCAAACGGATATCCTCTGTAGTACACGGGAATAGACATCGAAAGTAGCGACATAAAAATGAGACAAGTTGATGCATTGAACTCCTTGGTCGTACCCTTCAACTTGCAATCGAATTTGCTCCACTTCACCGCACAACACTGTGCTTTGAAAGTCGAAGGAATGAATGACAGAACTCACCTGCAGCCTCGGGAATAGACTTATATTTTCGTGAATTGATATTTCTCTTTACCGTCCCGAGATCCATTGGTTTCTTGATTAGGGTTGGATAGTCGAACAACCCCATGCCTTTCCAATCCACGGGCACTCGAAACGGTTCTGTTTTTGAGGTGGCAGTGGCGACGGCACGCGAACAGCACAACCGAAAAAATGCGGATCCATAAGGAAGCAATAAAAAACACGAAGGCAATTTTTAGCAACATTCAAAGCGTTTCCAAGAAAGAAATGCCGTTGTTGGCAGATGGCGAAAAAAACATCCAACAAACAACAATCATCCAAGCAAACGAACCAAACAAGTTCATTGAAGACCATCAGGAAGCATTAAGACCACAAGGATGAAAGGAGAAAGACAACCTACGTACCGGTATCGCTCCTTTGAATCATGCTTTGCAAGATCTTGGACATGGATGCCCATTGAGCGTCTGTCGGCGGTCCCATCGTACTGGCACTTGTAAAATGCAGCGAGACTTGCTGATCAAGATATTGGTGATTGAGAACTAAAAACGTTGACGCTGCTTTGCTAGAGGCCTGGTATGCTATCTGAACTGTACTGAACTGTACCGAACTGAAGCTCTATTTGCAAAGGATATCTCAAGTCGGATTGTTCGAAGACACTTGGTGATGGAGTCCAGGGTGCCTTTTCGACGGTCTCTCGAAAAGTATTGTTTTGACGAGAGCCAATTTTACGGAGAGGCAAGATGCAATGCGGACGAGCTCTTTTTTCACACTGCGCAGCAATCGGGGGAAGAGTTTTTTCCTGCTACCCACATCCGAACAAAACGACCAACAATAGTAAAATCTTCTCAGAGTTGCCGCCCATTTCTACAGTTATAAAGTCGTTTTTGGCTCAAAATGCTCATACCAGGGTAAAGCAGAGGAATCCCCCAGGAAACTTAAGCTTTTTTAAAATTGTAATGCACCTCTTGCAAGGCATCTTCAGAAAATGTGAAAAAGAATTGTCATATTAGTCCATACTAACAAATAAGATGGTCATTCTAGAAGCAAGAAGTAGTACTACTATTGAGCATGCGCATCATGATTAAAAATTACTACTAGTAGTAGTAGTACTACTAGTAGTACTACTAATATGTTTGCACATGAAATTACAGTGAAACAAAATATGATTTAGAATGGTCAAGCAGTGCACCACTTTTGAACAAGAATGACCAATAAAAGAAAGTTCTGTACTATCATACTAGTAGTAACAAGAACAAGTACACCWGCCAGCCCTTGTTCTTCTTCTTCTTCTTCTTGTACTACTACTACTAGTAGTAGTAGTAGCGCTTGGTAGCATTCTTCTAGAACAGATTGGCGAGTTTTGATCAAACTTGATCTAGTAGTACTCCAGGTGAAACCTGACAACCTCTCCGATTTGATAGCCCATTCATAAAGCTCCTAAGGGTATATTGTGGTCTCTCACCATGATCTTCATTAACTTAATTTTGACCTTAGTTGAGGGAGGTAACAATCGATATTCAAATGGTGTTTTTATTACATCAACGAGAACCAAGTCGGAGCACTCCTCCTGATTAGTGGGTTCGTAGAAAACATCATCGTCCAGATCAAAATCGATGGATTCCATTGCAGAGTCTATTAGTAACACACGATCTACTACTTCCGCAGATGGGTTGTACATAACTTGGTCGTTGAGATTCTGCGACATGCCACTAGATGGTCCGTCCTGGGTATAGTTTAAAAAAACCGCTGGCTAACACCAATCTTTTCCTTAGAAGTTTTGAACAACAACGAACTGAAGTCGTGGGTCCCGTCCCCAACATACATGTAATATTCGAAGCAATCATGATCCTTGCTGAGATGAAGATGAGTGAGTAGCTTCGGTGACGTGATAACGCCGGATTTTTTGTCATGCTTGGCACTGTAAAATATGGGACGCTGGTTTTTCCGATCTCTTGAGCTGTGACAGTTTTGACAGAACACATTTAGCTTAGGGGGGGGGGCATGATAAAGAACAAAGTTGAGTTCCAAGCAGAGGATGAGTTTTTTCATGCTTTTGAAGTAAAATTATGCTTGTTTTCGGAAACATGTTCTGGATATATGAAGTTGTGAGGGAATTCTCTAAACTATTATCCAATCAGGAAAAACTAAGGGTTGACCCTGAAATTTTGATGGTGTCAACCTCGTGAATTGCGCAATACCATAGATCCGGTTGCTTTGTGTGACGTACTACTACTACTACTACCACTTATTTCAATCAACACAATGTTATACTATATCTATATTAGATATGATAAGAGCAAAAAGAACCCTTTTGATTGCCCAGCAAGTATTGAGCTTAATTCAGTAGTAAAAAAGGAGCAAAGTACTTACTAGTACTACTAGTATTAGTACTAGCAGCACCACCATTCACAGGTTATCTTTGCGGGAATCAACCATTATTTCATTCGCGGTTGAAAACGTCGCAAATCGAAACTTGCGGTTGACGCGCGTAAGAGCGCGTTGTGGTCTGAACTAGTAAATCTGAGATCTTTGATTTGTTACGAAACATGAAACATACGTCATCGCTGTTCGTTTCAAATTGCATCATTTTTTCCTCGACCAAGGCGTTCGCATCGTCAATTGCTTGGCTTGTTGAAAATACAAACGAGGGGTTTTTTTAAACAACCCAGAAAGATATCTCGCCTTTCTCTGTCTGACGGGAACAAACCGAGATTGCGGTGTTAAAGACTCCACAACTCCTGAAGAATATTGCTCGGAGGGTTTCACAACGATTCATACTCTCCGCTGGCTCCATTTTTCAAATTGACACGAAAAGCATGATGAAGAATCATTCCCTCTTCAAATTGCTTTCGCTTGGTTTGCTCCTTTCTTGGAGCACACAAGGCTTTATTCCACAGACAATATCGTCCCACCCTATGTGTGAGCGAGCAACAATCTCGCACGTTCTTCACGCCAATGCGGCTGATAACAGTGCCGCAAAAGAGATCGAGAAAAATCTGCGCCAGGAATTGACTGAACGTAATTCAAAGGTCGAAGATGAGGGAAAGTACGCGGTGGTTGACGGATCTGGGATGGACACCGAGAAAGAAAAACCTTCCACTTCGGGATCGAAAGAGGAACCGCAATCTATGAATGATGAACGAAAAATGCTGGAGCGATTGATCAAAAAGCGTGCCTATCCTTTGTTTTTGGCAGAAAAGGGAGTTGAAATCATCGAAGATACCGTGGATGGTCTATTTGTGAAAGGCAGCAATGAAGTTGTAACCAACGGAGAGCGAGAAAAAGTTGTAGTTCTTGGGACCGGCTGGGGAGCTGCCGCATTTTTGAAGGGCATTGATGCAGTCAAGTACGATGTTACTGTCATCTCACCTCGCAACTATTTCCTCTTCACACCAATGCTTGCTGGTGCCTCGGTCGGAACAGTAGATTATCGCTCTATCACTCAGCCAATCCGAGAGGTAAGAAGAACTCTTACTCTTCTGTATGAAAAGATGACGTGAAAGATAGGGTTCGAATCAAACCAAACGGGACGTAAATTGCATTCGTGAACGCCAACCTTTTTCGTTTCGAAGAAACCAACCAATTTGATTTGTCTGCTCTCTTCGTCTTTTTACAACAACGTGATGATTGTGTTCTTTGTTACTCTACACGATACACAACGTTATCCAATCTTGTTAGGTTAACCGGGATGCAGATTACCTGGAAGCACTGGCAACAGATGTAGACACTGAGAACAAAGTCTTGACTTGCGAATCGATAATTTGTGATGGGAACTCCTGCGAAATCAATGAATTTGAGGTCTCATACGATCGGCTAGTGGTCACCATTGGGGCACAAACGAACACGTTCGGAATTCCCGGAGTTCGGGAGCACTGTAACTTCTTGAAACAAGTAGAAGATGCAAGACGGATTCGAACGGCCATCGTCAACTGTTTCGAACGTGCCAATCTCCCAGGTCTTTCGGAAGAAGATCGTATTAATAATTTAACCTTTGCGATTATTGGAGCCGGTCCAACTGGGATTGAATTTGCTGCAGAACTTCGTGATTTTGTGGAACAAGATGGGCCCAAATATTACCCGAATCTGCTTAGATACGTGCGGATTAAAGTCATCGAGGCTTCGTCGACGGTGCTTGCCCCATTCGACAAGTCCTTGCAAGAGGAGGCCATTAAACAAATGAACCGAAGTGTCGAATTCAAGAACCCGGATATCTATAGACTTCTCCCGGAACAATTTAGACTGGTAGAACTTCTGCTTGATAGTTCTGTGAAAGAAGTGACAGCTAAGCAAATTTTGTTGAACGACGGCAGCGTCATTGATTATGGACTTTCTGTTTGGGCTGCCGGTAATGGTCCCTTACCACTAACGCTTCAACTTGTTGAAAAACTGGGGGACAAACAAAGCGAGGAACAGAATGTTGCTCGCGGAAGGCTCGTTACTGATGCTTGGATGCGGGCCAAGGGATCTAATGGCAGTATCCTAGCATTTGGTGACTGTTCGTGCACGACTCAAGGTCCGGATGGTCCGCTCCCGGCCACGGGACAAGTCGCAGCGCAACAAGGAGAATACCTAGCGAAGTTGATGAACAAGGGTTACGATCTTAGTCCAGAATCCGACAGCAATGATGGAGCTACCGAAATCCCCCCAGCTCGTAGCCCCGACTATCAATCGACCATTTCAGAATCGATTGCTAGTTTCTCGACTGGTACAAAGGAATGTGCGAAGCCTTTCCAATTTCTCAATCTTGGAATTCTAGCCTACACAGGTGGTGGCTCCGCACTGGCTCAAGTGTCAACAGCTCCCGAAGCTCAACCTATCAAGGGGACAGGGAAGGTGGGAAACGCCTTGTGGAAGAGTGTTTACATCAGCAAACAAGTTTCTTGGCGAAACAGGTTGATGGTCATCAACGATTGGGCCCGTAGACAGATCTTCGGCCGCGACATTACTAGATTATAAATATTCAAAGAAAAATTATTTTAAGCAGAACGATATTTTGCTGTTAAAGTAGACGGGAGTACAAGTACTATGGAAGATGTCAAATATTAGAGTGCGGCACGTCGCAACAAAATTTCGTTGTAGTGAAAGAAGGGCACCTGGAAGTATCGGAACACTTCGATCGGGAGAAGCCATCTGGAATACATCCGTTAGTGCTTGGTATGCTTCTCGGGATCTCGTTCGGTCATTAGACACTCTGATCATCCCTCCTACACACTTAAGTACTCATGGTGGCTCTCCTCACAAGACTCATATCCCGCAAAATATGATCAACTTAACTGTCAACTCATGGATCCCTCCCGCAAACTTGTTCCCGGATTGTTACATGACAAATATGGTTACGTGCTGAGATGGTTGAACAAAGAAGATAGGTATTTCAGAATCTGTTTCAATATGTGGAGATTAAAATCTCCGGTTTGTTCTTTTTTTTAAATTGGGCTGTGCCCATTTTTTTGCATCATCGATCGTTCTTTGATCCGTTAATTGCTTATTTGCCGCTCTTCTTGGGGAGAAGGATGGCGTGGATGTTGGGAAGAACACCTCCAGAGGCAATAGTAACTCCTCCCAAGAGCTTGTTGAGTTCCTCATCGTTCTTTACAGCAAGAGTGATGTGACGAGGGACAATACGGCTCTTCTTGTTGTCACGAGC